CCACGAGGGTGGGTGTTTTTTTTTTTTTTTTTTTTTTTTTTTGTAAGCAAATGTTCCTGTTTTGACCATTTGGAAGGGGGGCAACTGCCCCAGAGAAGAAGGAAACCCACACCCTTAAAACTGACTGCAAGGGCTGATTTCTTCAAAGTCAGCTACCCAAATATATATATATATATATACATATACAAACACGCACCCAAAATAACCTAAATCCGGGACTATGAAGTGCACCATCTGTCACCAACACGCTCAACGAGCGAGCAGAAAAATAACCAAATGATCTGCCTTTGCATAAATGTGGGTTATTGTAGCAATTATGCAGGCCTTGCAGAAAATGGTCCATTTCCTTGACAGAGAAATAAGATTTACTTTGTGCTCATCTTCCTCTAACAGCATTTATTTGAGCTGCGTCACTTAATCTGATTTTACGTTTGTTTTTCAGCTACAAGAAATGTAAAAAGAGCTTCAGGCTGATGTTTTATATTGCTGCATCTGTTCATGAAAGATTTACACGGGGGAAAAAAAAGGGAAGCACATTTATTCACCTGGGGAAAAAGGTACCTGCTTATAGAGGGTGGGGATCCTTTTGATGTCAGAAGATAAAAACTGACCAGCTGCTACAAGCATTATCGCCTTTAGATTAATGCACTTCTTTCACTGACACTTGGCTATTACCCTACATGAGAAAGGCCGAGAGCAGAATAACTTATTAAGCAATTCCAACGTTTAGAACAACAATGAAGATGAGTGTCATGTTAATAACTGAATTGCATTTATTTTTATCCTAGTTCAGATGATTGGAACATAAGAGTACAGTGCTGCTCCTCACACAGGTCTCTCTAAAGGGAGGCAGAGAACAGGCAACGCTTTTGTTCATCATTAAAAGTTATTATTTTTAAGGACTGACTTCATAACAACTAAGAGACACGCTCTTCAACTCATTTTACAGAGTACTTCTTCCTGCTACTGCCAACATATTTAAATACCTGAGCCTGCCATGCTGCCTAAAGCACAACCACAATCTGCCAAGGGTTTGAACTTTCAGGGAAGGGGCACCAAAGCCCGCTGTCCTTAGACCTATGTCCATCCAGAATGCATTGCAAAACCAGACAGCACGGTTGCATCACGACTTTTTGAGAGCTTAATCCACAAATACTTGAGTAAAAAGAATGTACAGGGACCAAACAGAAAGCAGCGTTAGTATCATCTGAGGTAAATTTGCTGTGGAATTTCCTTTTGCACAAAGAGCTGGGAGGGGAACAAGGCAAACCTGTTACACCAGCACAGGCAGGGAAACCTGTCCACACTGAAAGATAAAAATGCTTAACCAGTTACAGAAAGATAAAGGCCAGAAATACAAGTTTTGTATTATGATGGTACATTACAATCAACCATGCCAAAACCTATAAAAAGTTGTTAAAAATTCATGTGGACAGAGGTTCAAGACAAACACCAAATAAAATTAATTCTGGATATTTCTGGAAGGGGACTTTTTCCTATCTTTGATTATCTTTATTAGTTACCCTGAAACTCTCCAAGACAGGGACTGCCATTTACGTTATTACTTTCAGTTGTACAGTGCCCAAAACAGCAGGGCCTGCAGCTTGGTTGGTCCCTAATTACTAATGTAATTAACTATGATGGGAGCATTAAGAGCCCTTTATGCTGAAGTAGGATGCTGGAAAGCTCAGTAGGTCCCAGCCTCAAAAGAATAATTCAAAATGACACTTAGAAATTATATTATCTATCACTTTGTTACTGAATTTGCACAATCCAAATCTGAAAGACGCAGAAGCTGGTGGGAGTTTTCCTTCAGCCACACCGAGACCAAGACCACGCAGATCTGTTCTCTAGATATGGGCCTATTCCTGTAAATTGTCTGTGTTTACCTCTCCTGTTGTTATGATTCAGAACACTCCCAGAGGTAGATCCTAAGCCCAAAGAGAAGCAACTCCCTTTTTAGAAGGCCAAGACTTTGTTTAGGAAACCCCAATCCCACTTGAAAACAGCCAGATTAGCTGCTAAATGATTCAGAAGGTATTTAAAGAAGATGAAGTAAATCCCTAAATCACAGTTCAATCTAAACCCTTTTCTCTGGGTTTGTTTACTCATGCAAAGCAAAAAAAATCAGAACTTTTCAGAGCACGTACAAGCATTTCTAGCTTCCAGGATACAAGAGGAAGAGGACCCACCTTTCCCCCCCAAAGTTATCACCCTTGCAGCTGCTTCCCTTTTAGTTTTATAATTCTACCCAGATCATCCACATCCAAGAAAAGGAACGTGGATGTTGCTTGTAACCTCTCATACACTGGGACCGAAACGGCACCGGGAAAGGAAGAGGACACACCTTTCCCTAAGGCCACCACAGCTGTTTCCTCTCTGCTGTTACAGCACTACACAGATCATTCAGCCACACAGCAGGGGGCCCCTGGTGCTCTTTAAATGCCCTATCAGGGTTTTAGAGGGGGCTAATTAAGGCCTGATTAACACCTGATAAACCTTAATGGCCATGACCAGCCTCACCTGTGGCCTCCACCCACACCCTCTGCCCATGGACTCAGGAGCGGCAGTTAAGCTTTGGCCTGAGGGTTCAGTCTCTGAGCGATGTTGCAGGGGTCTCCAGCTCAGCCACAGCGATGGCTATAGACCCTGTTGATGTGGAGCCTGGCTCACATCTGGCTGATCTCAGGCCTGCCTCATCCCTGTGGACCTGTCCAGCCATCACTAGATTGTGTCTGACCTTGGCTACCATCACCTGAACTGTGGATTGAGTTCTCAGCTCAGCCTTGTCCTGTCGCATTGCCATGAGCTGGCCTGATGACCCGGACTCTCAGCTGCCATCCCTGGGCCTGCCCTGCTCGCCTTGCCTGGGGACGGCGGGACTGGACCCTGAATGGTGAGATGGTGAGGCTCCTGCCCTGCTGGCTGTGTTATGCTCATCTACCGACTCCATGTCCAGCCCTTGCTACCCCACGACGCGCCTGTACCTCAGCTCATGGAGTACGTTAACAAATTGACACTTAATCTGCTTCGCTCTGTATGGAGGTGTACCTGCAGGCTGCCCCCGTGCCAAGATTTTCCTGCCACTGCTGATGCCTTCCACCCAATCTCAATACTTGCCCATGATAAGCTTAAAGAAAAAAAATCAGTGAAGGGTTCTAATTAGATATTTGGGTACATGTGAAAATACAATGAAGGAGTAAAGGAAAAAGATATCCAGCCTAAATATGTTTAACCACAGCTGAGAATAACTGTACTTGCTAGGAACAGGACATTTAGAGCAAGGCGAATCTTGTCTGGAAGCTACAGTAAAACATATCAATATAACGATGAGAGTTGCTGTTATAGCATATTCATTACAGCCAGCAGCCAGTTTGCATATTGATAGGCATGTAAATTTAAGTATAGACATCATTTAACATACAAATTCTTCGAAAAATGCATAGCCATAGTAAACATTATAAATTCTAACTTTGAGATTATTTAGGCTAGGTAAGTGGGGAACTTACTACAATATCCTAATAGTTGGTGGAGAGTTACATGAACAAAATAAAGATCTTCAGACAGTTTCTAGTCTGTGGCATAGAAATCCCTGATTGCTCTTAGGAAGCATCTTCAGACTAAGAGAGGCTCTTCAGCTGAACCAATCCCCAGAATTATAGGGGAAAACCTCATGCTATTTGACCACTGAAGCAGTCAGATTGTGCCTGATACTTAGTGGAGCAAGGCATGAAAGCCTGCACTGCAGCTGTCGCTGCAAGCAACTATTTCTCAGGAATCAAAAGTCTCTAGCTTTCCCAGGTGGTCCGTGCACAGAAATTATAATAATTACAACATTAAAAGTATTAATTCCAAGAAAATATCTGGACCAGAGTTATCTTTCCAGGATAAATTATCTGATGTTTGTAGTTACGTAGGCTTCTTGCAATCTGTGGGGTGTAGCTACGCGCACTACAAGGCCTGATGCTGACAGGACATCTAGTGGCACGTACAAGTCACTGCCCAGAGAAAGAATCCTACTAGAAAACCACAAGATTGGTTTTTTCGTAGTTCCAGATATTTTCTGGTACCTGTCCAGGTTTCTTTGGCTGATGGTGAGATTTCTGTGTTTATTTTATTACCTAAGAGTATAAAAGAAGAAGGGGGAAATTAAAGTGTAAGAGGTAATGGGTAATGTACAGTAACATCTGAATCACCTCTGTACAAAGATGTGACATTCTACATAATCTTGCTAATATAAAGGTCGAGACTATTGATTTTTCTCTGCCTATTTGCTCTTGCTTGCATTTTACTACTCACCTGGTCCAATCTAGTTGTTTATCTGGCTCTAGATGAAGAAACTTGCAAGCTGTCACTCCATACGCTGAAAGGGAAAATCAGAATGTTTGGGTTCCAAGATCTGACAGGACAGGACTCCACACTGAAGAACTACATTTATTGATACTGATGGCTTCCTGTAAGGAAGATAAATTGCACAGTCTTTCAAAAATTTTTTTAGCACTGTGTTAACCTAAAAGCCATTTTAATTGCTGCTATTCATGTTCATTTTGCTTCTTGTGTTACTCTCAGTTTGAGCAACAAAGAAGCCACTGAAGTCAGGCCCAATCTGCTTGTCGTTTCATTTTTCAGTGGGACTACAGCTACCAGTTTCAACGAGTTCAATAGCTGCAAAACTATTCCAGTAAGGAAGCAGAAAGCCCTTTGTTTTGTTACATAGTTTTTTGTGATATTTAAAATTAATACTCGAAACCCAGCTTTAAACAGAAAGGCAGTTTTTCAGTTGTTTGGACTACCTGATGCTCAGACATCTGTCTTGCTACAGCTCCCAGGAAGAAGCTGAAACTTGCTGGCGGACCCACGGCTGTAGCTGGAAGCGACAACCCCAAACCTCCCTGGGAACTGGCTGAGGACTGTGGCGGGAAGATCTCCGGCCTTCTCCCGGGGGGCAGAGCAGCTCTGTGGCGCCTCGCCCCAACCAGGGCCTTGCTGAGCACCTCCACACAGGATGTTCTCGGCAAGGCTCAGGGGTTGCCTTTGACCGGTGTTCCCCTGTGAGAGCAGCGAGGGCCATCAGCAAGGAGGGAGCTGCCTCACGGCCCTGACCACCGCCATGGCCCTTACCGATGGGCCCGGGCCAACCCGGGGACACTCTGGGGGGGCAGCGTCCGGGCGGTGGGCAGCCCAGAGGGGCCCTAGAGGGAGAGAAAAGGGCTGGGAAGCCACAAAACCCCGCTGACAGGAGAGACCCGGCGGTGACAGGGGTGAGGGACGGCCCCGCCCCGCCGCGGTCACGTGCCGCCACCGCCCCTTGACCCCGGAAGTAGCGCGGGAAGAGGATGCTGATGCTGGAATAAACATGGCGGCCCGCGGCGCTGGGGCTGTGCTGC